TTTTTTTTTTTTTTTTTTTTTTTTTTTATCTTTTATGGCAAAGCTGTTCGACCGTCAAGGAGTTCTGTGGCGAGGGTGCTTCACCGCACAACTACCTAGAGCCAGGGGCCTCCAGAGATGGGAGGGCTGTGCTTTCTGGAGCGCAGCGAAGCCCGTCCTGCCCAGCTGGGACACCGCCCACCCCCAGCCCACCATGCACTGTGGGCCACTCACAGTCACCGGCCACCACTCCCACGCTTCATGCGTTACTGACTTACTTAGTCCCCATAATAACCTCAAGAGATGGGGACAGTTGGCGTCTCTGTTCTACACAAGATTATCCTCATTTTATGTTTTTGGGGAGCCTGGGAGGCCACACAGCTGGTGAGCTACAGATACAGGCTTTGCAGTGAGGCAGTGGGGGGGTCCCCTGCTCCAGCCTGCTCTGAGCCCTGCGGCTCAAAGGGCCCGGGAAGGCGTGCTCCCCCAAGTGCTCCCGGCCGGCCCGGGGCAGCCCTGTGGTGCCCGGAGGGAACACTGGGACCTTGGGAGAGGTTCATCCGAGCTCCAGGTACTGAGCCCGGGACGATCTCTTCCAGGGGAGCGTGGCACCGCTGTTTGAGGTCCTCATGCAGCTGGACGAGGACGGGCTGGTCTTCAATCCGTCCCTGGAGTTGGGCCCCGACTATGGCTTCCTGATGCTGATTGAGGGCCTGATCAACGACATCTACACTGCAGCCAAGCTCATCCCCCGGCTGGCCAAGAACCGAATGAGCTACAAGGTCAGTCCGGGCCTCACCCGGCCCCACCTTCCTCCCCTGCAGAGGCTCCTACGGCTCCCCTGTTCCGGTCACCTCCCCGACGCGCCCCCACCCCACCAAGATGGCAAGCGTGTGCTCTTACCCCGCGTGCTGGTAGTTCGCTCCCTTCTGGAGGTTAACCCTGTGAGTCCCTCAGTGCTCGGGCATCTCGACCAACACGCTTCCCTGGCTCGCACATCCTCGGACCCTCGATGCATTAAACACCTGGAAACAAGACCCAGTTCGAGCGGATTCTCCAGACACAAAAAGGCATAGGAAGTTAGGCTCCCCCTGGAGGGAGGCCTGAGGACGTGTTTGTCAGAGTGTTGTCTGTATAACAGGGAAACCCCAACTGGAAAAGACCTAAATGCCCTCCAATAAGGGAGCTCTCCAGTAGATTCCAGTAGATTCAGGCCCATCCGCACAAGGACAGCCAGCTGAGTCCCAAACATGAGCCAGGGGTGGAAAGAGGCTGGTGACAGGTTGTTAAGTGTTCATCAAGTTGTGGCACAACGCGTAGAATACGATTTCATTCGTCGACACAAACAAAAGTCTGTATTTCTGTGGATACACTCCGAACTGTTAAGAGTGCTTACCTCTGGAAACAGGATGGGGTTAAGGATGGGGGACGGTGAGGGGTCGGGGCGGGACAGGGGGTGCAAGGTTTTTTATTTCATATATGTGAGCACCGCTTAAAGTTTTGGTAACGGGCATGAATTCTTTGCAATAACAGGTATTTACAACAAGAAGCTCTGTACTGTTAGGGAGGAAGGTGTGTGTGCACACGTGCGTGTGTGTGTGCCTGTGTGTGAGCGTGTGTGCCCGTGAGCGCGTGCGGTGAGGTGGGTACACAGAGGAGATAAGTGGCAAGGTCAAGGGTGGCTTCCCAGAGGAGCTGAGTGTGCACGAGTCTTGAAGGGTGAGGAGGGGATTTCCAGGCCGACGGTATCGGGCAAAGAAAACGGCCTGAGGATTTCTGAGCCACAGAAAGGGGACGAGCCCGGCCCAAGTGCACACGGCAAGCTGTTCCAGAGCCCAGAATAGAGTCTGTCACCAGACATTCACTCAGGTATGGACGTGGGACCCCGTGAGCTCCGGAGTCTGGCAGGATGCGAGTCTGGAGCTCCTGCAGCCTCCGTGGGGCTCTGAGGGGATTCATTTGCTGAGGAAGCCACACGTGGAGGAGGACAGAGCAAAGTAAGACAAGGATCCTGCTGATCATGCCACACCCCAGGCCTTGCACCCCCCCCCCACACACACACACACCGGTCTCATTCCTACCTGTGGGATCTTAGTTTACGGAGGTGACTGAGCGGCGATGTGGAGAGGCCGGTGCCATTGAGAGGAAAGTTAGTGCTGCTCACAGTTCCCATAGAAACGGGAGGCCTGGCGGGCCCCGAGGGGTGGCAGGGATCCAAGCAGGTGCAGTCGGGAGGCAGAAGCAGGAATGAGGAGGATAGCCCAGGCCAGAGACTTTCGTGGGGTTTCTGCAGGAGAGGCAAGGCTGGTGAGGGAAACAGCTCAGAACTGGCCAGTTTGCACTGACGTCAGTGACTCTGAGGCCCAGGGGTCACCTCGATTACCTGGTACCTGACCCTGGGGCACTTAGGATAGGAGGAGCGTTGGCTTGGGATAAAGGAGGTGGTGGGGGCGGGGGGTGGATGGTGTGTCGAGACCCAGGGCTGGATGGTTTGCATATGAAGGGTGTGCTCCCTGTTCCTGAGCCCTTAGTCTCGCTCAGAATTGGCTAGTCCCCAGGAGGGTGGTGTCTCCCCAGCCAGCAAGGTTTTTTAAGACGTCAGTGAATCTTGGGGCGCCTGGGCGGCTCAGTCAGTTAAGCGTCCGACTTCAGCTCAGGTCACGATCTCACCATTTGTGGGTTCGCGCCCCGCATCAGACTCCGTGCTGACAGTTTGGAGCCTGGAACCCGCTTTGGATCCTGTGTCTCCCTCTCTCTCTCTCTGCCCCTCCCCGGCTCATTTTCTGTCTCTGTCTCAAAAATAAATATTAAAAAAGTTTTTTAGAAGATGTCAGTGAATCTTAAGATACGAAAATAAAATTTCGTAATTTTATTTCGTAAATAAATTACGTAGACGAAATTTATTACATATTACGTATACGAAAATACGAAATGGGTTTTCTGTCGCTTGAAACGCAGAAGATTCTGTCCAGAACAGGCCTCCTCTGGTCCCCGCTCTAGCCATCGTGGTGGACTCCTTTCAGTTCCTCAGACGGCCGCGTCCTTCCAGCACAGGGCCTTTGTGCCTCGCTGCTTCTCTTGCTTTTTGCCCCCCCCCCCCAACCATCCAGCAGGGGCCCGAACAACGGTCACTTCCGCAGGGAGCGTTCCCCCCACCTCCTCCCCGGTGAACGTTAGGGCAAGTCTCAGGGTCTGGGATTCTTTGGTGAACGTCTGACCCCGCCCCTGGACCCTCCGTGCGAGCCCTGTCTAGATCCCCCGTGCCCACCCCCTCGTGTGGCGCACAGCAGGTGCACGGCGCGGATGAATCAGTGTGTGAGTCACCCTGGGGTCCGCCAGACAAAAGTCACGTTCGACGTGATCTCCTCACGGGCGAACATTGCAAGTGGTCAGATTTCTGTTTCCCACCGTGAGAGGTTAGCAACGCTCCCGCCAGCAGGGAGCTTCCTTGCAGGGCGGAGAGATGACCTCCACGCCGTGACCCCCGGCAAAACCGCTCACAGGTCTGCTTGTCTCCTGCCCGCTCCCAGGCAGACCTCGAGGACATGTCGGACCTCATAGAGACGAGGGAGGAGTTGTCCAACCTGGTCCTCAGCGCCATGAAGGAGGCCGAGGAGTACCAGGACTCCTTCGAGAGGTACTCCTACCTGTGGATGGACGACCCCCAGGAGTTCATGAAGAACTTCCTCATCTACGGGCGGGCGGCCACCCTGGACGATTTGGACACCCGGGCCGAGGAGGCCCTCCCCAAGACGCCGCCCACCCTCGCCCAGTTCCAACAGCAGGTGCGCGTGAGCCTCGCCCCCTGGGATCACCCCCCTCCCCCACCCACCCCAGGGAGGGAGGTCACTGGGCTCCGTTCAAACCTCCGGTGAAAGGTTCAAAATGCGGGTTTTATTATTATTCGGGTCTGGTGACTCCAGCCGAGCAGGAGATGATCGCCATGGAAGAGTCTGTGACTCACTGGTTCCAGGAGGAGGAGGCAGGCCCCGCCCCGCAGGGCCACGGGGGCAGCACTGGGGGGCAGCACTGGGGTCGGTCCCGAGGCAGAGGGACAGAGGGGAAGGCGTGATTCACAGCCTGGAAGGAATATTCGGGAGAGGCAGGGCAAGGGGACCTAGGATCAGCTAGTGGGAATCACGTCAGTGGATTCCGCGGTGTAGGGCTGGTGCCTCGTTGTGGGGACCAGGCCCTGGGGTGCTGAGGACAGGGGAATGTTGGCCCCGAGGGCGAAGAGGGTGGTTGGGGAGTGGGTTCTGGGTTGGTTTGTATAAGAAAGACGCTCCCTGGGGAGAGGCCTTCCCTGGGAATTTGCCAGCCTTGGGAGGGACCGTCCCACCAGGCTCAGCAAGGCTGCAGGTGCCAGAGCAGAAAGACGGAACGTGAGAAAAACCGTTAATGCGCAAACCTCCACCTGTTGCCCGCGCGCACGGTGACGGGGAGTCGCCCGTGAGCAGCAGTGACCCGCCCCCAGGGGAGACGCGCACCAGGGCCGATGCCGCCGCACGGGATGGGGGCGGCTGGTGGAGCATGAGAGCCCCGAGAATGGAACGCTGCACAAAGAGGGCCAAGTGTAGGGTGCCCTGAGCCTGCCCTGACCGCATTCACCTATTGGCTTCTGGCCCGTCCTGCAGAGGCCGTGCTGGCCTTGCCCGATGGCATCCCTTTCCGACAGGTTGCCTGAGCTGGGGACGGGCCACTGGGCTGCGGGGAGCCCGGGGCTGCCGGGACGGGAAGCCGTGCCCCGCAGGGGGGTGGGGGCCACCTGCGTGCTGTGCCGCCGCCTCCCACGGCCGCCCAACTGAGCCGTGGCCCCGTTTTCCAGATCGATTCCTACGAGAAGCTGTACGAGGAGGTGTCCAAGTGTGAGAACGCCAAGGTGTTCAACGGCTGGCTGCAGTGCGACTGCCGCCCCTTCAAGCAGGCTCTGCTCAACATCATCAAGCGCTGGGGTTTCATGTTCAAGCGTCACCTGAGCGAACACGTCGTCAACAGGTGGGCACCGGGACCCCGCAGCCCATCCCCGCCACCCTGCAGAGGGCCGCGTCCCTGGAGAGCCAGACAGACAGGCTTCCCTGGTGCGGGTGGGCGCTCCTCCGGGCCACGGGGTGGCTGGAGGTCAGGCTTAGAGGCCAGTGGGCCCCCAGCAAGGGGTGGGGGTGGGGGTCCCAGCGGAAAGGTGTCACCGGCTGTGAAGGGACACCCTGTGCTTCGTTCGACACCTGTTTATTGAGCACGCACGGTCTGCAGCCTGGAGGGTGGGGCAGAGCAGGCTGAAGTGTCACCAGGGGACCGGCCCCACGGGACCAGAGGCGGCAGTCAGGGCCTTGAGGGCACGGTGCCGGGACAGAGTACGGGAGGGCTGAGCTCTGCCCAGGAGGCCAGTCTGAGTGGGGCTGGTAAGGCGTAGGGTGAGGGTCAAGGTGGTGTCGGGGGGAGGACAGGAGCTCTCCCTTGCTCAGCACGGCCCCGCAGCACAACGGGGGAGCCCTCGGGGCTGGCCGCCTCCTCCAATGGGCCTCACCCTCCCCGTGGAGGGGGGCGCCTGTCACCGGGCCCTCTCGTTCAACAGCCTGGCTGACCTAGAGGCCTTCATGAAAGTTGCCAGGATGGGCTTGACAAAGCCCCTCAAGGAGGGGGATTATGACGGTCTCGTGGAGGTGATGGGGCATCTGATGAAGGTCAAGGAGAGGCAGGTGGCCACCGACAACATGTTTGAGCCCCTGAAGCAAACCATCGAGCTGCTCAAGACCTACGGGGAGGAGATGCCGGAGGAGACGCATGTGAAACTGCAGGTAGACAGTGGCCAGGTGCCGCGCCGTGCAGGGAAGAGGGGAGGAGGGCGTCCAGGGATGAGGGGAGGGAGGCCGCCCAGTGCTGGGGGCCTTGCAGTGGGGGTGCAGGCTGTCTGAACAGGGACAAGGCCTCACGCGGGGCCTGCACAATAAACCTCCCCTCTGGATTCAGGAACCCCGTGGAATGTCCCCACAGAGGAAGGGACACTGAGGCGGCCTCCAGGGTGGGGCCAGTGGGGCCTCCCTTTAACTGTTGGATTAAAAATGCCCCTGTACCCCACGCCTGCCCCCGAGGACGGGTCCGCCCCGGGTGCGGGGGACAGTGGACGGAGAGCGGGGTCAGCGGAGGCCCCGCAGAGGTGAGGGGCAGGGCCGTGAGGCCGAGGCAGGGCCGGCTCCCTCCTGGAGGGGCACGGGGGCAGCTGCTCTGGGAACTGCCCAGCCCGGAAGGCCCCGGGTCAGCCCGGCTCTCCCTGTGGCAGGGCAGGGTGGAAGGGGGAGGGCCTCAGCATCTTACGATTAGAAGTCCGATAGTTGCTCAGGAGTGGAGAACTTTGAAAATACAAAAATCCATCTGATCGTTAAAGCCGTGCTTAAACTAGCAAGATTCTAGAAATGGGGAGAAGGTTAGTAGTTGCCCACAGACGGGCTGGGGGCAGATACAGAGACCACGTAAGACGAGTTCTTCCCGGCGAAGGACCGTTCCGTGTGTGTGCGCTGAGGATGTGGTCACAGGGACCTAGACGTGGGTTCAGATCGCTTAGGACGACACACGCTCACGCACAAATCGCGTGCACACTCGTGCGCCGGTGGAATCGGGTTGACGCGGGGTGAAAGCAGACGAGGTCTGCCACCCGGTTCCCGGAAACATGCCGATGCTGGTTTCCTGGGGTGGGGGTCGCACCGCGGCCGTTTGAGATGCCAGCCCCAGGGGGAGGCTGGGGGAGGCACACAGGACTCTCTACTCCTTTGGCGATTCCCCGTGAGTCCGTCACACTTCGCGATAGGAAGTTTCTTGAAACAACGGAGAAAGGAACGGCCCCTGGGCTCGATCTGCCGCAGGAGCTGCCCGAGCAGTGGACAAACACCAAGAAGCTGGCCATCCAGGTGAAGCAGAACGTGGCGCCCCTCCAGGCCAACGAGGTCAACATCCTGAGACGGAAGTGCCAGCAGTTCGAGGTGGTGCCATCCCGGGGGGCCGGGCCCGCACCCTCCACGTGGCCGGGCTGGGGAGGGTGACGCGGCTGCTCCTCCCTTAGCTCAAGCAGCACAAGTTCAGGGAGAAGTTCCGGCAAGAAGCGCCGTTCACCTTCACGGACCCCGACCCCTACAAGTCCCTGAATAAGGTACGTCGGTCGAGGCCCCGGTGCCTCTCGGCCGTTCCTCAGGCTGTCACTCGTGGGCGTCCAGGGACGCGGCCTCGAGGGGCCTGGCCTCGGGGCTGTGCGTGTGCGCAGGTGTCCCCACGGACCCCAAGTCCCGTGCCCGAGCCTCTCACCACATCCCCCTCCGTCTCCGCTGTTTCATCCGTGACCGGTGTCCAACGTGCAAATTCCACGGGGCTGGGCCTGACAACCCACTCGGGCTCGGGTCCCGCGGCCTCCCGCCGGGGAGCGTGTGGGGCACTCAGGACTAAACGCAAGAGACCCCAAGTGCATGTGACCTTCAGGGTCACCCGTGCGTGCCCTCCCCCAGCCTCTGGTCTTCCCACGCAGCTTCGGGGCTGCCATTCCCCAAGATGGTCCCCAAGATGGTCCCCGTTCTGCAGGGTCACGTCCCTGAGCCCAGTGGGGAGGCGCCCAGCGTCTCCTGGAGCCTGAGGGGCCTGGGCTGATTCTGCAGGGGGATCCCGCGTGAGCTTGTCTAGTAACCGGGTGTGTGCGTGCGAAAGGCCTCTTGGAGCCACCCGCCCGCACGCACGGGGAGCCCACCTTCACGCCCGCGCAGACAACGCGCGTACTCGACACGGAAGAGCCCACTCTCGCTCTCCTGGTTTGGGGTGACTCTTGCCTTCCTCCTCTTGCCCAGGCTTCCGTCATATTTAAAGCCATCAGGCATTACCTACGTAATGCTTAATAAGGTAAAAAATAAAATAAAATAGAGCGTGAAAATTAGGAAAGCCTGGAAGTCTCAGGAAGTTCGCATAGAGTCCGTCCACTCCTTGAGCCTAAACCGCCTTCCCGCACGATCAGAAGCAGCGGGCGCCTGAAGGCAGGAGGGGAGGGTAGCGACCGTTGCCCCATGGTCGGCGCGTGGGGCTGGGACACAGCAGGGTGCTGGCGGCGACCCCGAGAAGGTGCCCCGGGACGTGGCGGAGGGCGAGAGGGAGGCCGGCGCTGAGTGCCAACGGTGCTGTTGACCCCCTCCCTCACCATCCCCCCCAGCAACAACAGAGTATCGCGTCCATGGAGAGCATCATGGACTCCCTGTGCAAGTCCGGGAGCCTGTTCGAAGTCACGGTCCCAGACTATAAGCAGCTCAAAGCTTGTCACAAGGAGGTCCGCCTGCTGAAGGAGCTCTGGGACATGATCGTCATGGTGAGGCGGATGGCAGGCACCAGGTGTGGACGGGGCAGGCCAGCGCCACGGGGACCCGAGGACGGGGCGGCGGGGGGACGGGTGGCTCTGCGCCGGCCGCAGCCCAGCACCCGGATGTCGGGGGGAGGGGGCTCTGCGCCCCCACTGCACCCCAGCGCCCAGACGAGGTGCTCCCGCTAGCCTCCTGCCGCTCGGATGCGACGGCGTGGCCGACGCAGGCACCCCCTCTCGAAGGGTAGTGCACGAGCTCCTGGGGGCTCCTGCTGCCTCTCCTCCCAGCTCCCCCGTTTGCAGAGACGCGTGAGCCTTCTCTCTCATTCTCGGGATCGAACTTGAGGATCTTTGTCAAATCCTCCTCCCCTGCGAGAGGGAAAACCATCACGCCTTTATACGGAGCCGAATCTTCTCCGCGAGCTAATCTGGGGAGAACTGCTCTCCCGGCGTGACGCAGGGCTCCCGTACGGAAGCACCCTCTGTCTCCTCGTTTAGTTCCTCATTCAGGATGGCAGAGGTCGATGTTGAAGATGACCGCACTGAGCCCACGCAGTGCTTACACAGGGGGAGGCGTCTCTGGAGTCACAGGCTCTCTTACGACCGCTCCTAACAAGAGCGGACACATGCTTACTTTCCACACTTAGCTGAACTCGAGTCTCTTGCGTCGGAAGGCCATCCCAGCAGGCAGCGGTAAAGCCAGAGAGGACGGGTGGCCGCACTTCCCCTCGACAAACACCACTCAGCACAGACTAGAGCCTACGTTGCCCGGGAGGGAACAGTAAGCGTTTACAGCCAGAGTATTTCAGGGACAGCTCTCCAGACCGAACTGGCCAGGACGCTTCTAGGAAAACAGGATAGAGAATAAGCTTAAACCTTCCAGAAAGAGCCACTGATGTGATTGAGGTTTGCCTCTGAGCATAGCTTCCAGGCAGGTTTCTTGTAAACACCCCCACCTCTCTCTCGTTCGGTAACAAGTACTCTTGTCCGCCCGGGCCTCCCTGCCTCAAGTGCCCGTGCCGATAATCTCGTCGCTTCGATCCCAGCTACGCATCCGTTTTCAGCCCATCCCAGACCCAGAAGATCTGTGGTCTTCTGTCGTCACTGTTGGTAGGGTTTTTCCCAGGGGAACATCCTGTGTCTTCCGGTTTCTTCTAACACGTTGTCACCAGTCAGTATAAGACAGGTTACTCTGCACTAACAAACAGCCCTGAAAGACAGCTCTGTGTTGTTAACAACAAAAGCGTATTTCTCTTCCGTGCCGAATCCACGCGCTGGTTCTAAGCAGCCCTGGGGCGGCTCAGAGATCCGGGCTAGGTAGCCACACGCGTGTCCGTGATTGCCAAGGCGACAGAACTCGGAGTTGAGCCCTGGCAGTGAAGTGCCTCTGCCCCCAAGTGCCAGGCATCACTCATGTTTTCCTGGTCGAAGCACGTCGGGTGGTCCTGTTAAGTAGAGGGGCCTTTGGGTTAAGAGTCCGACTTCGGCTCAGGTCTTGATCTCAAGGTCCGTGTGTTCGAGCCCCGCGTCGGGCTCTGTGCTGACGGCTCGGAGCCTGGAGCCTGCTTTGGATTCTGTGTCTCCCTCTCTCTCTCTCCCTTTCCCCCGCTTGCCCTCTGTCTCTTGTTCT